TTATTTATTTATTTTGCGGAACTGAGGATTGAACTCAGGCCCTTGCGCTTGCCAGGGAAGTGCTTATTCTACTGAGCCATCTCTCCCTCCCCTTTTTTTGAGGAATCTCGTTGCTGATTTCCACAGTAGTTGTACCAGTCTGCATTCCCACCCACAATGGTCGCTCCATTTTTCTGATGTGGGAATTCATCACTATAAACTTCCCTTATAGAACTGCTTTCATTGTGTCATAGCTCAACGGATTAAAGTGCCTGCAAGCAGGCGCAGGGGCCAGGGATTCTATCCCCGGGCCTGCTGTGCCAGCTCCACCCCCAGGGTGCGCTGAGACAGCAATTCAGACTGGGCATGGTGGTGCTCACCTGTAATCTCAGCCCTTGGGGGATATAAACAGGTGGATCACTATGAGTCCAATCTAGTAGTGAGACCCTGAACATCCTGTAGACCCTTCCCTAAATGTTGTAATGATATTTTCATTTAATATTACCTTAATTTTTTAAAAAATGTATTTAGTACAAGGTCTACAGGGTCTCTCTATACAGATAGGACTCGTAGTGCTTCTCCTGTTTTCAGCCTCTCAAGAGCTGGAATTACAGGCGTGTGCCCCCATGCCCAGTGTCAGTCGTCCTCTCAGCTCGGCCCAGGGGCGGGGCTGGCCCAGCATACTGGGTATGGATCCAGGTCCCTGTGTCTGCCTAAGCAGGCGTTTTAATCCTTTGAGTTATCTGGCTGGCCCTAGTTTAATTTTAGAAACTAATTTCGTTTGTGAGCCGTTTATTGTTCAGGAGGGTATTGTTCAATTTCTGTGTGTTTATGCAGTTTTTGAGGTTTCCTTTGCTATTGATTTCCAATTTCATTATACTGGTCTGATAACATGTATGGGATAATTTCAGTTCGTTTACATTTACTTAAGCATGTTCTGTCAGTATATGGTCTATTTAGAGAAAGTCCCTTGTGCTGTTTAGAACGACGTGTATTCTGATGTTGTAAGGTGGCATACTCTAGATATGTACTAAGTCCATTTGTTAAAAAGTTTGGTTCAGCTCTGAATTTTTTTTTTTTTTTTTTTTGGTCTAGTTGATGTGTTTATTCATAACAGGGATATCAAGTGCTTATCTGGATTTTCTTTTTTTTTTTTAAATTTA